AAGTAAAAAAAAAAAATCAGGACACATCCACCTTACTTCAAAGGCATGTTCTTTTGTCTTTCTGCCTCCACCTTACTTAACACAATGTGGAATATTTATTTGTGGAACATGATGTAAAATTAAGAAAATCACATAGTTTCCAACATATTCAAAACTTTTTTGGTTGTTTCAAGGATTTTCTTCTCTGATCTCAGGAATAACGCACATCCAGTCCAGGAGTGACAATAAAAACCCGCCCATGTTTTATTCATGATGGACTGAAAAATATAATTTTTTTCTGTAATTCTTTACTTTCAGGAAGTCCGAAAACCTCCAGCTGATCAACACTCCACTGAGTTTAAGCTCCTTCCATCAAATATTTAAGTTTTTTTCCACATCTTCTCCAGGAGTTGTCTGTGTGTCAAAGGTCAAGTTCTTCCATCTCCTCCCGATGCCTCAGTTTACAATAATGATCAAAAATTAAAACCTTTCTACTAAAGAGACACTACAGGTCACTTCCTAGTTTAGTTTTGCCAAGATCCATTTGACACAATAAAAAAAACCTTCAGGACTTTCAGAAACGTCACATTGAATAAAATGCTTCACTTTATGCTGATGACTTGTTCGTTTTTATTTCCAACCTCCAAATTTATTAACTATTTTTGTTTATTAAATCATAAACGGTTTTTCTGTGAAACCTCAGTCTTTATGCTCTTCGCTGACCCTGGAGGATAAGGAAAGAGGCTTTTATTTTGAAAGGATCGAGCAGGCAGATAACCGGTTTCAGTGATGAAATCTCCGTGTTTGTGTCTTTGCTCTCCAGCAGGCCGAGACTCGCCTGATGTCGCTTCATGTTGTGTAACTTTGTGTTCTCGTTTCTGCAGCCGCCGCCTGCAGTCCGTAACCTCACGCTGCTCCACAGCCTGGAGATGCTGCTCAACCTGTTTGTGTCCAGAAGCAGGAAGCAGAGGTGGAAACCTGGAGGAGTCACAAACACGTTTCTAATTTTCCAAGAAGTTACCAGGAAAGAAGCGAGAACAGCCGCAAAACATGTTTTATCCCATTTCTGGGATACATTTAGTCACATAAACCTCAAATTAAGTTTTAAACTCACTGAAGCAGAACTTTAAAGATAAATTCATTTAAAAAGTGGCGTTTAAGTTTATTGTCTGCTTTGGCAATCAGTTTAATTTCATATCATCCATTTCTGCAGAAGATCTCAATCTTTTTATCAAGTTTTCCAGCCAGACATTTTCACACGGCGTCTCTGTCACACAAACAGGCTGATTTCCAATCTTTTATGTTTCGGACCAGAATCCAGACCAGTCTGCTCGTCTTTCAAAAACACCCAAAAAGTATTTACCCCCTTTCAGATTTCTTCAGTTTTTGTCCTATTTAAAGTTCCAGATAAACAAATTAATGTTGATGTCAGACAGAGAAAACCGGTGGAAGTTTAAGAAACATTGTTTTAAATGATTTAATTTGTTAATGGAAAAAACTCGGAACCAACCTGGACCCGGGTCAGACCTTAAACCTGAAAACTGGTGATGAGTTTTTAATATCACAGTGGAGGAGTTTGGACCCACTCTGTTTGGGTGACAGGTTGAAGTGTTGATTTGACTAGGCCATTCCTAAGTATTTATTTTGTTTTCATAGTGATTCAGTGCTGGACTTGCTGGCGTGTGGTGGATCATCATTTTACTACAGAGCAGAGTTAATGGTTCTGTCAGTTACACCAAGTCCTCCAGGTCCTGTAAAACAGCCCACAGCATCACACTGTCGCCTCCATGTATGACTGTAAATAGGATGTTCTGGTTCTGTTAGCTGTTAGGTTTACTCCAAACCTTCCAGAACGGTACATTTTGTTTCATCAGTCCACAGACTGCCTTGTGAACCGTTACCAGTCCAAATAACTGGTTTTATTCCCGTTCATTCATGATGTAACCATTAATTTTTCATGCAGGCCCAAGATGATTTGGATAACTATTTTGTCATGTGATTTGGAAAATGGCTTTTTCCTCTATTTTCTTGGATTTTCTGTCTGATACTTAAATTTTATTTTTGATTTAAAAAAAGGCCATTTTCACCCAGCATAGTCACTAAATTGCAATCTTTGCTGCCCTCTTCTGGTTGACTTGCGAGTACTGCAGGTGTGTTTAATCAATATTAATATATTTATATATATTCTTAAATCTGCTCGCTCCAGTTCTGGTTCTGGTCCTGCAATATTTGAGATTACAATAGGGGTTCTCATTCAACTTTTTTTCTCTTTTGTTTTGTTTTTGTTGTTATTTCTCAGTTTTGCTAGTTTAAAATGGTGCGCATGCGCAGTAGTTGAAGACTCTCGGACTGAGGAAACAGTTTAGTTGGATTTTAAGCTGCTCCGGAGTCTCTGTGGACTTTCTCTGTGTTCATGAACCTGCGCTCAGGTGAGTCCGCATGTTCGGCTCCACGTCCCGTGTCGGGGGTTTGGGTCGGTGGTCCAGGTCGCTGGTCCGGGTCCGTGTTCCGGCTCCGGGGGGGTTCTGGGTTCGAGAGTCCGAAGCGTGCGCGGTTCTGCTCAGGCTGTCACACACAGCTGGTTCAGCTGCCTTTTAGACACTGAAGTCATTGGGTCAGAACCAAAACCAGAGAGTCTGTCCGGTGTCAGTTTTGCAAACTTTAATTTGTTTCTGAATCTCTGCGAGTTTAAACCCGAACCGGAGCTGGTAGGTGGGGCTCCACCCGCCCCTGGATGCTCCGTACAGAACCTCCTCAAGAAAACGGGTAATTTAGAAATACGTAGCTTTTCAAGACAAAAAAACTACCTCATGGTAAAAATCATGATTATTTTCTCAAAAATATTTTACTTTTAATTCGGCAAGGGTTTTGTGTACAACTTATCTTTTATTGTTAAGAGATTTTCATTTTCCTATTTTGTCTGGGGCTCACCTGCTGATAAATTCCTTCAGCGCAGCGCCGAGCCAGAACGGCCCAGTGGGAGCAAATTCCTTCGGTTTTATCAGATTACGCCACTGGTTAGTCAAAATTTATACAGCCGAAAACAACAGATTGTCGAGTAGTTTCAGATAAATCTGTGAACAAACGTGATGATGTTTTTGTTGCTGCAAAGAAGCTTGAAGAATCACAAAATGGGGAATTTGAAAACAGAAGTTCGTTGGCATTGGATGCTGTTCTATGGAAGATTTTTAAAATATCCAAAGGGCAAGTAAATCGTGAAGTAGTGCGACTTTTAAAACGGTCTGACTTGAAGAGCTTGTCAAGTGTTGCCAAGGTAACTGATTGTAATCTGATGTGTTGCAATCTGAGCATGCTCAGTCATGCTTTTCGGTCTGAATGAACTCATTCTGGCAGGTGGAAAAAAACAAACATGGGCATACAGGAAAAATACAAACAAAAATGGTTCCAAGAAAACAGAATATGGGAAAACCTGCAATCTAAAAGTTGCATCAATCCACCCATCTTCCTCCATTCCCATTTAGGTTTTTGAAAATATGTGGAAATTTTAACCATAATTCTGAATTTTTGTGTATATAAAAATTAGTCCTGGAAATATGCTTCTTGAAAACTCTTAAACATGTTTGGATTTTCCTGAAATAAATAATTAAATTTGATACTTTTGTTCTGAGTTAAAGTCTGAACCAAAGTTTTATTCATGGATCAAACTTTAATCAAGTTTAACTGTTGCTGCAGATGACTTGTGTAATTTTGCAACATTTTATTAGAGTTTAGGAAATGAAAAATAAGTCATAAAAGACAGAGAATGAGAGGAAAAACTGGATTTTGGCTGTAGATCGCTGCAGTGTTTTACAGACACCTGGTTGTTGTTTCACTCTCTAACTTGAACTCTTTGAATTTTATTCAAAGTGTTTCTGTTTTTAAATCCCAACCTCATTTCAGAGGGAAGGTTTTTTCCATGACACTCCAGGAAGAAGTTTTTAACAGTCAGTCTATGCTGCCCAAGGCATTGCGAGTTAAGCGGCACCACCAGAGGGCTTCCAAGAGCACCAAGCTAGCATGATAAAATATTCTAAAATTCTATTTCACATGAATAAACAATTCCTTTATCACAAATATAATAGGTTAATGTCTTCCTGCTGCAACATAGCATATCAAACTCGACTTGTTTACTGTAAATTTAGTGTTTATCAGCTAATATATATATATATATATATATAACAGATGTAAGCTAATTACCAGTGATGCTAATGTTAGCAGTTATGATACTCACATACAATAAAGCATCTGGTGTTGACATGTTTTTCTGGGGGAACCAAATTAAAACCTGCTCGGGCCCTAGAAAGGCATGGACCGGCCCTGCAGACTGATTCAGAGCAGAATCTGAAGTTTTCGGGTCGCTGGTCCGGTCCGGTCCGGTCCGGTCCGTCTGGCTCCCTGGTGCTGCTCCTGTTTTGCCCTCATGTTTTTACCCTGCAGACGCAGCAGGTCATGTGACTTCCCTCACCTGCTGCAGGTGGATTCACTCTGTGGTTCTGTTCGCTCCAGGTCGCCAGTTTTCCCGTCAGCCGGTCCGTTTATGGAAGACAGGTGATGCCTGAAGGATCCCACAGCTCCACTTCTCAAATCCCGATGGGTGAAGGTAAGACGCTCTTCCTCATCATCACCATCAGCTTCGTCTCCAACGGTCTGCGAATGTTGGTGAGCTCTAGGCTGTTCTGCGGTTCTGACCCGTCTGTAACGAGATCTGGAACCAAACTGACTGAAAACAGGATTTTATCACCCAGCATGTCTTTCACAAAGCAAATCAAACCCAGATTAGGGCTTCAGCTGGACGCGCTCTGCTCTGTTAGCATCAGGCTACAGTCGAGACGATTAATTGTGATTAATCAGTTTGTGAAATAATCATCAACTAATTCAGTAATCGATCAATCGCTAACTGGAGTCTATAGACTCAAAAGAAGGTATTTGTTCCAAAACTGTACAGGAAATACAAACATTTTGCATTTAAGATTTAAAAAGTTACAGTTTTAGCTTCACCTCATTCAAATTCTGGAGAAAAAAAATCTCCTATTAAACGATCAAATTATTAATCGGTTAATCCAAAAAGTAATCTCAGTAGAAAGGACTGAGCCTTTTACCTTCAAATTAAAATAAAAAAATATTTTATTGATCCCAAAGGGAAATTAAATAATTTTATAATAATAAAAAAATAATATAATAATAATTTTCCTACCAAAGATAAAGTATTCACTAAATTAATGATTTTATTGCATTTGAAGCAGTAAAATGTTTTTTTTTTTTTGAAAAAGGAATTAAATTTTTTATTTCAATCTTTTAATGCACATCTAATATTTTATATAAATGACTGAAGTGGTTAAAGGGAAAAATCAGCAGAATGTGCTAAAGTTTAATTGTATTACTGTTAGAATAATCGATTATTCTATGTTTTGTTCTGACGTTTAATCAGATAAAAAAATGCATATATTCTGCAGATTTCTCATTTTATCCCTTGATCTTATTTTATACAATGTTAGAAATACTTTTAAATAATTGGACAGCAAAATGTGCGTAGTTTGAGGGTTTTTTATTTTAATTTTAGTTTTTTACAGAATTAAAAGAGTTCTGGTTTGAACAGATTTACAGACATTGTAATAAATGCAAAATGTTTTTTTTTTTTTTACAGTTTTGGTTTAATTTCTGCTCAGTGTGTTCTTCGTTCAGAAAATTTCCCTTTTTAAAATCAGTTAACGATTAATCAATTACTAAAGTAGTTGTTCATTTTGATAAACGATTAATTGTGATTAATCGATCAGCCCTAATATGAGTTAAGCTTCTTAAGCTGTTAAGAGAAATTTGTTTGAATTTTATTCTGTTGTAGGGATTTTTCTGCTGAGTCGTCTTTTTGCATATTTTACTAGTAGATTGGAGAAACTTTGACTAGTCCTGTCTGGTTTAAAGCAGCAGGTCACTCTAAATATTTAGCATTATCTGTTTTTGGTTTTTGGAGAATCTGACTCTTTTTCTCATATTACTAAATTTCCAGTAATCTGATCAGTTTCCCTCACACTGCGTTCTTTATGCATCATATCATGTTTGCAGTGCAATCTGAGATAAAATCTTTTTGCTGAAACTTTGTGAATCAGACGGATGTTTTGCTGCTGATGCTAAAACCTCAACGTTTCGTCATTCTGTTGTAGTTTGATGACTTTCCCCTGACGAGATGAATTTATTTGTGAAGATTTATTTATAACTTTGGAACAGCAGAACGGCTGCAGGTTCTGTCTGCTGGTTGTTCAGCTGGTTGTTTCCGTCCGAGCGCCTGAGGCGATGGTTGGAACCGAACCAGAGGGCTGAGGAGTGAAATGAGGCATGAACGCGACAGGAAGTGCTCCTGATAACAGTCGCTGCTCCGACATCTACAACCACAAACCCTCAAGATGATTAAGAAATATTCACATGAACACAGAGGCATTAAAAAGGTGCTGGCTACCAGACCAGCTGCATGGGGCTGAAACGATTAATCGCGATTAATCAATTACTGAAATAACTGACAACTTTATTTAGCAATCACAAACTGGAGTTTTAACACTCACAAAAGGTAATTTCCAGAAAAGACAACTGAAATCTAGACAAAACTGAACAAAAAATATAAACATTTTAAAATAAGCAAAGAACTTGTTTGTCTGTGAATCTGTTTGATGCTGAATTCATGTAGAGGCTCAAATTCTGTAAAAAACAAAATATCCTGTTAAATGGCCAGTTGAGACCAAAACACCAGACTGAAGACTTTTATCTTCCAGTTTTTGGTAGAAAGAGAAAAACAATAAATCCTGCAAAAGTAAATTATTGATCTCGTTTAAATTTATCAGACGATTAATTGATTTATTGCGACAGGAATGTTGCTGTGTTATCACATTTTAGGCAACAAATTGTTTTTCTTCTTAAAAAATCCTTAGGTGGTTGAATGAAAAACACCCATCTTTTAAAATCTGATTAATTGATTAATCGTTTGAATAATTGATTAGCAGAATAATCGTTGTTTGCTCTGCAGACGGAGCTGATCACAGATCCGTCTTTGTTTCTGTGGCTGGTGCAGGGAGCCGATCGCGCTCACATCTGTCCGAACCGTCTGCCGCACAAAGAGCGAGTGTTCAGGGGTTAGAATGGCCTAGTCAAAGTCCAGACCTGAATCCAACTGGGAATCTGTGGCTGGAGTCAGAACTTCGTGAAGCTGTTTTTCTCTGGAGAACCTGTGATGCCTTCAGGGACCAAATTACAAACTTTTAAAGAAGACGTTTGTTTGGAGTCGGTTTCATTTAGAGGAATCTGAGTAAAGGGGCTGAAACTACGGAAGCCCTGAAAGCCAAACAAATTTTTTTTTCTATTTGAAAACACATTTTCTATGTTTGACCAAATTTTCTTTTTCTCTCAACTTTTAGTCATGTGCAAGAAAAAAAATCTACATTTAAGTATTTTATTTTTAAAGTTCCTTTTTTCTCAAGGGGAAGAGAAAGAAAATTACAATGCATTAAATTTGATCTATTACCTCTTTTTTCCTTTTTTTTGATAAATATTTTTGACAAAAATTTTTCTTCCATTTCTATGTTTCTTTACTGTAGAAATTAAATAAATCTATATTTCTTTATAGTGAGAAATAGCTA